AAACGCGGCACCCGAAATCAAAAAAACGAAACGGGTTTTTTTATGGGGTTGGTATGATACAAGCAAAAAGGGTACGAAAGATAGCACGGGTTCGGGAAGTGGTTCGTCACATAGCCTCAATAAGGTCTTCTAATCGCCCCTCTACATGGTGGCAGTACCGCAACGATGCTCGCAATTGGTCCCCTGTTTTCCAGTCTTGCCTTTCACTGTCCCAGAGGTCCCCCACCCTAAGCACTTCATGCTTAACCCAGTTCTTCAAGGGTGGGGATGAGCTCGTCATAACGCAACCACTCGTGTCCATCACCCATCTGTTACCGAAGAGGCGTTGACGATGGACTTCCTCCAACCGGTTGGGGTGGGTCCGGTCTGGGAGCGGGAGTTTGCGCCAAGTTTTCAGCAAGGATGGCCAAAAATTGTCCAGCGTATGTCCCCCTCCTTCTGACCCTTCCCTTCCATGTGGGAGTTTGTGTGGAATCGTCCAAAAACGGGCCTCCAACCAGGTTAGCGGGTGGACCGTATGGGGGGTTGTCGGGGCCAGCCGGGCCAGATGTTCCAAAGCGAGGACACACCACTGGCTTTGGGGGGCAAAGATAAGTTTCTTTATCCATTGAATGCGCAGTGCCTGCACTTGTGTGGACGGATCTAGTATTCCCATGCCACCCCTTGCCTTTGGCTGGGAATAAGACAGTGTTAGAGATTTTTAGAATGTTTTGTTGCGGATTCCAGGGGTTCTGAGCATTCAAAGGGCTTCTGTGGCTTTCCGTTTTGACTTAGTAAGTACTGCTCGAGTAGCCTAGCAATAGGTCAACAGTTATCCATGTTTTTCCTAAATTTTCTAGAATCTGTTTTATGGTTCTCAGATTGTTCTTAGCCGAAGCCAGGTAATGGCCCTCGTATTTTAAATCATTTGTATAATTCTATATGGGACGCTGGGCCCGGTTCCCAGCACGTGTTGCTCCCCACGAATAGACTGGAGCATTTGTCCCCCCCCCCACCAAAAAAAAAAAAAAAAAAAACAATAACGCGTGGCCCAGTGGTTAGGGCACCTGTTGGTAATGCGCATTGTGGCTTAAGCATGCGGGTTCAAAACCCCGCATCCATATGCATGGACACCGGTGAACGTTTACATAACGTATGCCCATCTGCGAACCCCCTTGGGCTGATGCAGGTAAGATATTAAAGACACTGCTTGCGCACCACCCAGGGGTCTTAGTTTGTTGTATGTTGGGTATGGGCTGTGGGATGTTTGCCTGATGCTCTCGGTTCTGGTGGGGATGGTTATTCATTTGCCTTCCAGTCCGATATTGCGCATAAAACGTTCAGTTTCCACAGTAGCTCAGTAGGTTCGATAGTAGATTGCATGGATGAGGTCGTGTGTTCAAACTCGCTCGCAGGACCAAGAGACCTACACACTGCCCATAGAATCAGGAACGGTTGATGAGAGTGAGACTTAGTACAGACTGTGATCGGTGTTGGTAGGTTTCTTGGGGCAAGATTAGAGTAGGGGGACCTGTTGCTAGCGGGAGATCTGGGGGGTCACCCACTAGGCATGGGAGTGGTTAGGATGAGGGATCCCCTCAAAACAGCTCGCCCGTGGAACAGGAATGGTTGATGAGAGTGAGACTTAGTACAATCTACGGTCGATGTCTGTCTGAACCAGGACCCTATAGACCGCCCATGGAACGAGGAACAGTTAATGAGAGTGAGACTTCGTACAATCTATGGCCGGTGCTGGTAGGGCTCTTGTGTCCGTGGGGCTCTCTACAGGATTGGTTGGGTTGCCTTCCTCCTATGTTCGGTTCACTATCAACAAACAAGTAATAATGACAACAGTGTGCACAGCGAACAACCTAACAACAACTTTGTACACAACGATAGGAACACAAAATAGGTCCACCTACATCAGCATGAACACCATTAGCACTATCGTCATGATTGTTTTCATCATCATACATGGGATGCTGAGCCAGTGAGCCCGGTTCTCAGCAGTTCTCAGCAGCTGTTTTTCTGGTTACTCCGGGTAGACCGTGAGGACCCCCGCCTCAATATTCTCATTTGTAATATCAGGCTTGGGCACTGGGCCCTTTTTTTGGGGGGGGGTTGACTTCCGCGCAGTTACCAAAACAGTTTGTAATTGCATTCGAAACTGCGTTTTAGCAGTTTTGTCAGGGCCCGAGTTTCAATTGCAGTTGAGACTCAGCCCGAGTTTCAATTGCAGTTGAGACTCGGCCCGAGTTTCAATTGCAATTGATGCAGTTCAGTCAGGGCCCTCGTCTATCCACGAATGGCAGATAAAAAAAAAAAAAAAAAAAAACATCACTTATGCTGTGATTGCGGTCCGATACAGGATGCCACAGTACTTGTCCGGAACTCAATGAACCGTGGAATCCGCCCTGCCTGGCTGGCAGGGCGCTACACGACCTCACAACAAGAAACAAAAAAGGAAATCGACCTGTTTCATGTTCCTCACTTCCTGGCCAGATACATTCCTCATAGCACCCGTGACCTGAGGGCCTTCCCGACGTAGGTGGATTCCAAGTTCCTCTTTTCTTTACTTTTTTTTTTCTGTTTTTTTTTTTTGGCCTCCATCCCTGCCCCGAGCCCCCCACTTCTTCGAAGTAGGCTACTCTTGAGACTTCGCGTTTGCCTGTGAAGGGTAGTGCCTACGAATCTCGGCTGTGGCCGAGACATTTCGGCCGTGGCCAATCTGGGGTGTGGCCGAGACATCTCGGCCGTGGCCAGTCCGGGGTGTGGCCGAGACATCTCGGTCGTGGCCAGTCTGGTGTGTGGCCGAGACATCTCGGCCGTGGCCCAACCATGGGG